TATTCGTGATGTTCCCCGATCTTTCTAGAACTCATTACGTGTTAACAGCGTCACGTGACTTCCGCTATCGTAACAGTATATTCTAGTACTAGCTACACCAAAGTTTGTTTAAAAAAATTTAAATTAATGCATGTCAAGTAGACACACCGACAACAGTCCACATTAAACATAATAGGAATCTTATTAGTGTTACTATTGCTTTGATTACTTGGCTTAAGCATCAAAAGTATTTAGAAATAACAGGTTCAGGTAGACCTTGTCAGCTGCCGTTTATCAAAGGAAGGTAAATTAGAATAAAAAAGGTCTATAATACACAACTATTGTTAAAAAAGAAAGCTCATGTTGAATGCCAAATTAACATAACCGGAGCCTTGTAGGCTTAGGATGTAGTGGAATCCAATAAACTGTAGCATTTTTAAGTCCACTGGATATCGTAAGGCATTTCTAGAGCTATGTAATCAGTTGTATTATGCAGTTCTCTAAACTATTTTAAGATTAAGTATTTTTTTGATAATTTGTCTTTTTGAATATAATGACTCAAAAAAAAAAAGACCGTGATTCCGTTTTGTTTTAGTTGTTGTTTTCTTACAGCGATTAAGGAAAAATCTGCCACCTAGTCTACTACGCCGGATGTCAACTAGCACATGGACCACTACAACTTCCGCCACTGGCATGCCTACCCTCGAACCCGAACCCAACCGTAAACGTAGTACCAGTTTCAGATATCCTGCTGAATCAAACAACCAGGGATCTACAGCTTTAGGTGGATCTATATCGGAAAATTCCTCCGTTTGTGGAAGATCAGGCCGATCAATTAGGTGAGTATATAAAGGCCGAGTGGTAGATCGATCTTTGGAAATACTTGAACAGAAACTCAGTATATGCTGTAGTTCTGAAATACTACTCATTAGGAAATTTAACCACGTAGTTCGAAAATAATGTTCATACAAGATCATTATACTACGAGTTTAAGTTATTTTTGACTGGGCGTGGCCAACTGGTCAATATGCCCAGCTTTCGCGTCCTGTCGCCTCAAAAACTCGCTCTTCGCTGTTGCGCTATAGAACGACAGTCTAATTCCACTATTCGATCAAAGAAGATTAGCCCAAGAATTAGCGGTGGATGCTGTTGACTAGCTTTCCTCTCGGCTATCAGTTCAAAACTAGGGACGGTTATGTGTATATTAGCTCTTGTTTATCATTGCGCGAAAATTCTGAAAAAAATATTTTACTAAGCATCGTTCAGTGCTAACTCGTGAGTGAATTTTTTTTTTGCATTTTTTATTTTTATATAATTAAATTTTTAATAAAATTTGAAATAACTCTTAATTTACTTGTTACTTCTTTTCATTTATTATTTTCTGTTGGAAAACTCGTTATACATAGTATGGTTGATGAATACTAAGTTCCGTTTTGTTTTTTGTTGTTGTTTTATGGCGACGAAAAAGACAGAATTTAAATAACATAAGATTTAAGACACTAATGAAAGTGCTATTGGGAAATTTAACAATACGATATCTTGCAGACAAGTTGATTAGTTGCATAATTTTGTGATATTTATAAAACGAATATTTCAGACTCCTTGATCAACTTTTAACGCTAAAAGTTTTATTCTAATGAAACATTTTTTTACGAACTAACACAATTTCTACAACAGTTATCGTATAATCACTCAAGTGGACTTCTCTGCAACATGTGTTTGCAGCACTTCTTCTAAAGTTCCTTATTTCGTAACTGTCACCATCGTGTATCATTCGTCTATTAGAGCACGTACATTGACTTTAAACAGCATTCGTCTAATAGAGAATGAGGGGATAGAAAGCTCAACTCGCAATCTGCGAGATCGAAACCCGTCGCCGAACATACTTGACCTTTTAGCCATGGAGCATTATAATGTGACGGTAAATTCCACTGTTCGTTGGTAAAAGAGTAGTCCAAGAGTGGGCGGTTGATGTTTGAAGGTGAGTGGTGTTGACTAGCAGCTTTCCTTCTTGTCTGTCGTTTCAAAACTAGCCCTCTAGTATATTTTCTCGAAAATGAAAAAAACATGCTATCTTAATATACGATATAGTACTTAATATTTCATCTTCACACAGTATTCGTGTAATGCAAGGTGATCAATTTCTTCATACATTATAGAAGTGTGCTGCCCACATGCATTATTTGTATCCAAGAAGAGATGGGTTATTGCCATATAGTCCTCATCTTTTTGAAGACATATAGAGAAGCACCACCATGATAAAACTATTCTTAAACTTATCTACGGCTATGAAATTACACTGAAGGTTTACAGATAATGAAATCCTCCTGTCAGGTCAAGCCCAAAATTAGTCGCCGTTTTCTTCTTTTGCTTCCTAATCAATAACGAAATAAAATTAAAAAACACCCTTAGACAATTGGCGATCATCAGTTCACAAAGGTTAGAGCCTCGGGGAATACCAGTTAAGGCTATTAAACTTGTTACTTTTTTTCCCTTGATTAAATCACTGAAAATATATGTCAAAATATTTACCTTGATTATAAGCTTGTTCTTCACATCGTTGGTGAGCATATTTAACGAGAAGTGCTCAAAACATTTTTGGTTATAGCAAGCTAAACTGAATTACTGAAAGAAACAACAACAAGTTGTATTTTCTTGGACGAACAAAGTCAACATTACAACAAAGATTCGGTTTATTTTAGTACTGCAAGTATCATGTGTTTAATCTCTTTGTTACTTGAAAGTCGAAAGGCAAAAATCATTTGGTTGGTATGGTGACTTTCACAATGATTATACAAAAATATTCAATTACAAATTACAATTTAAAGGCCTAAATTATACCTTTGAATCCTCTTCCCCACTAAGTTTGTTTCTTTAAATTTATTAGAATTAAACTAAAGGTAAAACATTCAAGTACTAAAGGGACAAAGGTGAATGATAGTAATCACGTTTGTCCACTCGGGAAGTTTTTGATGAATTTTTAGAAATCGTGAAACATGTTACCGAGATTTCGTAAATTGTTCTCTTTCTTATTAGGAGATGAAAAAAAGTATTTCTTTTTTTATACAGATATTTATAACCTATCAGATCAATCTTAGTATATACATTACACTTAATTTTAGTTTGTAATTATTTCTAATTATCTTTATATTTATCCTACCTTTAAATAATTAAGGCTATCTTAAAAACAATAGTGTGAAATGGCTGTAAAATTTAACCAAGTAATAAAATTATACTTAGAAGCCAATTATAAATTAATTCGTGAAACCATAGTTATGAATAAATGAAGTTTTTGTGAAACGTACAATTGTCTTTGTTTTTCCTTCAATTCTCTGAAAACATCCCTCTTGGGTGTGGTTATTAGTTCCTCGAGTTAAACCTGAATTAAGGATCCGTATGCAGAAGATAATAAATGAGTGTGCCTACTTTATAAAGGACCAGAAACGAAATGGTAATTTTGATAGTGGTCCCTTCCAGTGGATGACCAATAACGCAAATGGTTAAATGTGAATCCAAGAACAAAAAACGTGAACACTACTTCTGCATGCCCTCTCTTGTAAATTACAAATGTATTACTTTATGGCAATAATGAGCATAACACATGACAATACACGATGTTGTTCTTCGTCATGCAGTAATTGGACAGTGAACAATCTTTCCCATTTAGTGGATAAACAGTTAATGTAACAAGCCTGAAAATGATCTGATCGTGAGTCAATATTAAGATACTTCTTTTGTAATGTTTATCGTCAAAAATATTTTACGACAAAAAAACTACTTCAAAAATTTCTTTTTTTTGGGGGGGAGGGGTGTTATCTGTGTAAACCATACTAAAGTTGATAAAATGGTACAGCTCTAGTTTTTCAAAACCCGAACTCTTTTTAGCCGCGGCATATTGGCACATAGAATGGTTCAGAGTTTTTTCAAGTACAAGCTTTTAGCTCCATCTCTTGACCGATTTGAGATCTAATTACAGCCGCAGCTATTGAGGATTTCCCTCTTGTTTCACTCAGTTTTGTTGGATTTTTTCTAAGGAAGATTAAACGTTTTTATTCACGCCTGCATAAACATAGCTTTAAAACTATGAAAGTTGAGAACCTTGTCGTAAAACTGTGAAGAGCGTTGATCATTTCGTTAAATGTGCGAAATTTTCAGGCCACGTGACTGGGTTTAGAATTTAGGTTGGTCGTCCACGATTGGTAACGCTGTGTCAGCATTCTGTCAAACAAATTTATAATACACAAAGTTATTTTCTTATTATTAGATCGAGGATTCTCGGGTGATTTTTGATTATATTGGTTTGTTTTGAATGTCGCGCAAAGCTACAAGAGGGCTACCTGTACTAGCCGTCCCTAAGTTAGCAGTTTAAGACTAGAGGGAAGCCAGCTAGTCAACACCACCCACCGCTATCTCTTGGGCTATCATAATATCAACGAATAGTGGTATTGACCGTCACATTATATCGCCCACACCTTGAAAAGGCGAGCATGTTTGGTGACCGGGATTCGAAACCGTGACCCTCAGATTGAGAGTCGAGATTTTTGTGGTCGAAATAAATTAAATGTTAACTTACTAGCTACAGAAAGTTCGAAAATTTGTTTTAACGCAAACCTATAAAGTGGACGATCTGTGCTCTGTCCACTGAACATCGAATTTTAGCGTTGTAAGTTTGTAAATATAACGGTGACCCGTAGAGTGGCAAAAATTAGTTATTCAAGATTTTTCAATTACAGATAATTTACTGATAGATGTGTGTTACTTAGTGGTTTCTTTGCTGCAGTTTCATTTTGTTGAGGCGGCATGGCCAGGTGGTTAAGGCACTCGACTCGCAATCTGAGGGTCGCGGGTTCGAATCCCTGTCACACTAAACATGTTCGCACTTTCAGCCGTGGGGGCGTTATAATGTGACGGTCAATCCCACTATTCGTTGGTAAAAGAGTAGCCCAAGAGTTGGCGGTGGATGGTGATGACTAGCTGCCTTCCCTCTAGTCTAAATCAGGGACGGCTAGCGCAGATAGCTCTCGTGTAGCTTTGTGCAAAATTCAAAAACAAACACACAAACATTTTGTTGATCTAGTATTAGTCAATACAGTTTACTCCCCACCCGCTACCTTCTTTCATTTCACCTTTTCATCCTGAGGAAGAGTAACAGTAGAGTAAAATACAGAGTAGTGATTTAGTGACTTGTGAACAGTGACTGCATGCGACTTAAACCATTTTTGTTAGTTTTTTAGAATTACTAAAAAGTCCAATAAAAGACAGGCATGCAGAAAAATAAAAACTATACTATTATAATTATGTCACCAGTATAAAAAGGTCTGCAACATTACTACTTCCAATATTTTTGGGTGTTACATATTCAATAACAACCAAAATATTAAAAGAATGCGAAAAACCTTTTCGGGTAATATTTTTGGACAACTAATACCTCTAAACGTAAGTATACAATTTCTGATTAACCTATTTCACATTTCTGAACACGTAAGCGCTGCAGAACTTCTTAAAAGTGGGATAATCCCGTGCTGCATTCACAAATCCTAACGAAAAGCCCTTCAGATCATATAGCACTTTATCAATTAGCATAACAAATGCAGGAGGATGAAGGCTATAAGGTAAAGCTGTAAAATAGCCAAGTCAACTAGGTAAAATAACAAAAAAGGCTTTCTCTAAACCTTTTGGCGTTTTTTAACATACTGCTAAGTTAAACTTGCTTAAAGAACCTTTGTCTGGGTGTACATAGCATACTCTATTGAATTGCTCTTAATAGTGATATCTACAGTTCATTAGAGTCGGATAAGAACGATTGGACCTCTAAAGTGCATATCAAACAAAAGTTCACAAGATCCAAATCTAGTGAATGATGTGAGGAATCATTGTACATAAATAAGACAGAGCTAACCAGATTAGTCCATCTGGATTCTTACCGTTTGCATTCCTTAACATAGGTTACAACATAGCGAAATGTTGTACTGTAGGTGACAGACTGATGTTTGATATATTTTTCAAAAATACATATTAACTACAATGATCGGGGTTTCTTCCTCCTCTTACTAATATTTTCATTAACTTATCAGTAAATATTATAAAACTATAATAACAGATAAATACATGATGCTGTGTAAAGTGATTTACAGTGAAGTTTAAATCCACACTAACGGAACAATACCAAATTTATGTGAATACTAGTTTCCACATTTCACGGGACAGAAGAGGGCGTGTGAAATGTCGAAACTAGTATCCATAAAAATTTGGTATTGTTCCGTTAGTGTGAAATTAAACTCTATTGCATATTTTACAAATCATTTAATGTGAAGGAAAATATTGTTAGAACAATAAAAATGTTCTTGTATTAAAGTTAGCAAAAGATGTGACGTAAAACATATGAAGTAACAAGGACTGACGTGGAAAAATAAGTTATTTTTATAATAGAAGCTTACATTATAAAAGTATTTATGTTTGTATCTTTGGCATATGTAAGAGTTTTTTTAAGATTTTACATTCATGTAAAGCTGAATATTTATGGGGTAAGAAGTATTTTTCGAATTTTATTTCTTATAGTCCTAGCCAGCCTACAGCGGAGGCGTGTTTTCCCAACAAAGCTCGTTCCTACTCCACAACATCAGTTCCAGCCTGTGCTGCAGAATGTCTGGAGAAACAGGCCAAAAGAGAGAGAAAGACTGTTTGCAGCCTGTATCCTCTATCACCAGCAGATATCGCTACTCTTCACGATACACACGACAAAGAGAATACCGCTAAAAATACAGCCGTTAGTAACTCTCATGATGGTCAAGACGTCGATAACGAGAATGCAGAAAACGAATTACGAGACGAAGAGGCAAACAGGCCTCTACCGCCTTTGCCGTATATTCGCAGAATAAATATTACGTCTGATTACGAGAGTAGTAATGATTCTCCTAGTAGCAGTGACAATAATGATGCTGGAAATGTCCTGGAGGATTCTGTAGGAGTCATAGGATCAACACAATCACGAAATCGCGTTCCTAGATCGTTAGGTGCTCAAATAACAGCACCCAGCGAGATTTCCCGATGTAGCTTATGTGGCGCTCGAGTTCGAATTGGCGGAACAAAGGATATGATTCGATCACCAGGATTGGTTGTTATCCGTGATGATGTAACACCTGTACCATCGGAGAGCGGAAAAAAGGTGAGGGATTGTGTTCAGTTCCAGCAATTTATTGAAATGTTTTCTTGAGAAATTATTTTGCTGTTTTTGTTTTCACATTTGCCATTAATTTTGTAAGTGTTAATTGCTGAAACTCGTATAAAATAAGTAAGAGATAACGAAAATAATTAATAGAGTTTTACTATCTTCAAGTTTTCATGGATAAAAATATATGAATATAAAACTAAATCAAATTCATTTTACCCCATAAAAACATCGTGTGTTATGTCTAGATTTCTTTTTTGTACCACATTCGTTTTTTTAACATTATATTTTTACGAAATAGCGAAGTTTACATTTTTTCTTTTCTTGTGTTTTCGTAGGAATATTTATCACGTGATGTTATATAATTATTCCGAGTACTGATAGCAGTTAGTTACAACAAAAACTATACAAACAAATTGTTGTCTTGCCAACATCACAATATCTATTGAGCCCAAAAACGTTTTTTTTTTTTCTTACGTAAATTCAAGGACCGAAGTCGTTTGGTTTACTAACGTAAAAAATGCATTGGTATTTTGGTGTTTGGTACTATAGCTTTACGATGCATACACATTAAAAGCGTAAAACAAGTACTATATTCTCAAGTTCTAATATTCTTAAGGATGGGGGTAATTGGCCACCCTGTAACCCCGTATTTAGTGTCTTTGTTTAATTATGATATATTCAAAATTCTTTGGTAATTAAGGTTTTAGATAATTTTCTAAGTTGTTCAGTTTAACATCGAAAATACATTTTACTGACCGATAGCCATAATGTTGAAGTGTGAAATTTTAGATTGAGTTGTAAGTTGGGGCAAGTTCAGCTAGCTTTTCAGATTGGGGGTTCCTTATGAGTGACGGTCAAATCCAAATATTCAGTTAGAGTAACCCAAAAGTTTGCGATTGGTACTTTTGATTAGCTGCCTTCTCTCTATTCTATTAATTCAAAATTAGGAACGGCTAGCGCAGATAGCCCTCAAATAATCAGGAATATCTGAGAAACAAAATTATACTTTGAGACAAACATTCTTTATTTATCTTCAAACGTTGCCGTTTTTAATTAGTGTTTGTGAGCTACAACATTCTGATCGTTACGTTCATTTTAATCGAAATCCGTTACAGGAGTTATCAAACATTCCTACACCTCCTTCGGAACTCCTAACAGAATCTGTTATTTATTACATGTTTTTCTCTCTCTCAGATATAATGGTTAGCGTGTTGTGCTGAGGATCGTATAATTCAGGGTTTGAAACTTAATTCTGTTGAATACTCCTCGCAACCTCAGCTGATTGCGCATTATAAGAGTGACAGTCAATCGCTGTAATCGGTTTAAAATTCCTGCTGCAATGTTTTGCCGGCTAGCTGCCGTCCATCTGATCAGTAATTTAAAATTAGGCACGGTTATACCTGAAACCTGGCCATTTAGCCCATTACCTTGAAGGTTGTGTGTAGTTCTAATTCTTCCTCTTTCAAATAAATCTTACTGGGTTTCGGACTTTCAGAGGCAAAGTAACAGGGCTAGTTGAGTCTAACAGTTTAGTAAGATAATTTTGAAAAGAAATGTAAAATATAACATAATTAGGAAAGCCAATGCCCCGTGAAAACTAGAGAAAAAATCAATCTGAACAATGACACCATCGCCAACGTCAAAGGTAAAACCCCGAGATAAAATAATGCCGTTGTTGTCAATAGTAGCGATGGTGCGAAAGTAAAACGTGGCCCATTGTGACTTTAGTGTCACAGAGGCCACACATTGGTGGTTCAGTCCCAGATAAGAGGTTGTTTGGTGCTTTATGGCGCAAAGCAACGAGGCTATCTGCGCCAAACAAACAGTAAAAATAGTGACAGTAAATTAGAATAAAATGTAAAAATAGAGCGAGTTAAAACCAAAATATGTCGATAAAAGATTTATATACAATTAAAAAGACCTATAGTACGTAAAAAATTAAAAATACAATTTAGTCGGACGGTGTCACCATTACCAATGACACTGTCCAACGTCCAACGAGAGCCATAGAGTCCTACGAGGGGACGCACTACAATGTCAAGCAAGCACACTGCAGCAACGCCAGGGTTTCGTGAGCACTATACCCAAACACCAGTATCAGTCCACAACACCTGTTGAGAACGCCCAACACTGGTACTCCGTTGACCCTAGCCCGAGTGGACTAGCCGATTGACCCTGGGGGGACCACCCCAAGTCCACCCGTCTACAGGAATTCAAGGCCAAAGTGGTGTGTTGCAGTGC